CTTCTAATGATGCTGCCTAAGGGAAGCATGTATAATGTAAACAGAATTGGTCCTAGCACTGAACCCTGTGGAACTCCATAATTAACCTCAGTGTGTGAAGAGGACTCTCCATTTACATGCACAAACTGGAGTCTATTAGATAGATATGATACAAACCACTGCAGCACAGTACCTGTAATACCTACAGCATGTTCTAATAATTGGCCACATGACTGCATCACATGGCTAACATGCGTCATCATTTTCAAAAGTCTCCGTTTTCGCTGTCCACACTGCGACGTGAAAGCACCGTTTTCAAAATGCTTCGTATTCCTTCGGGGAAAACGCGTCTCAGTGTGGACGGGAGGGCAAATGGAGAGAAAACGATGTTTCCAAACTAAAACGCATTCGTGTGGTCGTAGCCGCAGGCTCATGGCTGGAAGCCAATGAAGAAACAGAGTGAATGGAGCAGAGAGCGTTTCATGCCAGGCTGGTTTAAGGTGTCACATGATGGAAAACCATTTTTAATCAGATCACTTTTCTGCTTCTTGTTCCCAGCTGAGCCTCACATCCTGAACCTCTCTGTGGTGGAGATGCCCTGTGGCTCAGACAGCGCCCCCCGGAGGCTGCAGTGTCAAGCTGAAGGTAACCCGCTGCCTAAGATTGCGTGGCTGTTGGCCTCCAGACGCATGTTAGAGAACAAGGGTGAGTCCTCACAGTCCAGCCCGTACCATGTGACCAGCTGTGTGCCGTACCTGGAGGAGGAGGAGCTCACCTGCAGGGCGGAGGGTGCACTAAACCACACGGAGAGGACGTATCCAACCAGAGAGCCTCAGGATCAGAGTGAAGAGAGTGAAGAGAGTGAAGAGAGTGAAGAGAGCGACTCTCTGAAGATCCCTCTGATCGTGTGTGCTGTCATCACTCTCCTGATCCTGATCGCAGGAATCGTCTTTTACTGCCTGAGTGAGCTCCTGTTTCACTTTAGCACAGCTGCTGTGTTTCACATACTCCGGCTCATATTTCGGTTCTTTCCTCCTTTGTCACGTTTGTTCTGTCTGAAGGGCGCGATCATCCACAGCAGGTCTCACAGTCTGCAGCTCATGAAGAAGAATTTCAGGCATTTTATTCAGTGGCTGCGACGCCCGACTCCACTTCCTGTGAGTGTTTTTCATCCATCCTCTTCCACTTATCCTCGTCTTGATCGAGGGACCGGAGCAGTCTGTCGCAGGTCTAACACAGGCTACATATTTGCTAATTAAATTGTTTGACTCTTGATTTAATTTGATTCAATGTTTTTCATATATTTTTTTATTAGTATTCAATATTATTTTATTATTTATTTATTTGTATTTTTCAAAAACGTTTTGAGTCAGGTTTTGCTCACTTGCATTTTTGTTTTGGAAATGTTTGATAGTTGTAGCTGGACGTCTGGAGCTCCTTTTAACTGCTCTGCACTGACTGACTGAAGTTCATTCATTGATTGGAACGAAACACAACTCATAAGCAGTGTTTGTATTATTAGAGAAGCAGCACAAATATTAAAATAAGTAAATGTTATTAAGTTATGACCATAACACCGCAGGCTGAAACCTTACATCACTTAGAAACATCATCAGCCAGTTTTTATGTCACGGCTGAGGCTGGGTGTTGTGGCGTGGACCGTGGACGAGTTGTTATAATAATAATAATAATGGATTTATATAGCGCTTTTCAAGGCACCCAAAGCGCTTTACAATGCCACTATTCATTCACTCTCACATTCACACACTGGTGGAGGCAGCTACAGGTGTAGCCACAGCTGACCTGGGGCAGACTGACAGAAGCGAGGCTGCCATATCATCGGCCCCTCTGGCCAACACCAGTAGGCAAGTAGGGTAAAGTGTCTTGCCCAAGGACACAACGACCAAGACAGAGAGCCCAGGGATCGAACCGGCGACCTTCCGGTTACAGATGCGATTCCCAACCCCCTGAGCCACGGTTATGCAGTTGTTAAGCCGTCTCGTCAGAGATTCCAGTCGTATGAATTGCAACAAGAGTTCTGGACTAACATTACCATTCTGAGGTCTACTAACCCGGGAACAGAGAGTACAAGCCTTTCACAGGTAGATTTGAGACTGTACTTTCAGATGCAGATCCTGGAGATGTAGCAACGCACTGAGTAGATTCTGAGCCTTCAACATTGGGAAACAGTCTGGAATCAGGATGTTCTTTCATGGCTGAGCAGCCGGGGTGTTGTGGCGTGGACCCAAAAGCAGACACGGGAGAGAAAACAAAGTATAACAGAAAAGCGAGCTGTTTATTAAGGCTGATATCAAACAGAAAACAAGGCGAGCTGGGAAAAAACTAAATGAAACTCTAAACTGGGATAAACTAAGTCCTCACAGTCCAGCCCGTACCATGTGACCAGCTGTGTGCCGAACCTGGAGGAGGAGGAGCTCACCTGCAAGGCGGAGGGTGCACTAAACCGCACGGGGAGGACGTATCCAACCAGAGAGCCTCAGGATCAGAGCGAAGAGAGTGAAGAGAGCTCCCACATGAATGAGAACAGGTGCATGCGAAAACTGAAAATGAACATGAACCGAAGCACGAAAGTAATCCTGAGACGTAAAGTACATGATACCAGACAAACAGACAACCTGACACTGAGCAGAGTAAGAAAGAGGACATAAACACACAGAAGGGTAATGATGGAAGTGGAAACACCTGAGAAGCACAGCTGACAAACATGACGCCACAGGGGAAGTAAAACTAAACATGCTGAACATGAGCGGCAGAGCCTCAAAATAAAAAAACTAAACAGGAAACATGGACATGGCAACTCGAGCTCGACAACGTGGACACAGACATGAAACTCACGACAGACTGTGGAGACACGGAACAAGGAGGGACACACGGGAACAGATAAAGGAGACGAGCGCACAGGAATCACTAGATGTTAAACAAAGAGGACAAGACAGACGAACACAGAACAAAGGAAAAGACTCATAAACACAGAGATGAAACATAAGCTAACATTATCTCTCTATATAATAAACAATCAAAACACCAAAATAACTCAAAAAATGCTGGGACACAGACGCAGCCCCTGACAATGTATTAGAAAGATTATTCAGAAGTTTATAAAATCACAATCTCAAGGCCCAAATATTTAAAAAATGAACCACCTGATGTCAAAACGCAGTAAAAGTCCAGTCAAATCGTGACTATATAAAATATCACAAACTTCAAACGAGTCACCGATTATTAAAGGTTTCATAGTTTTTTATCAGAACGCTCAAACAGAAATGCAAACTGGACGATGGATCGTCCACGGAGGATGACTGAGGCCCAGTGTGAGATACAGAAGGATTATTTTGGACTATGAATTATGCAAAGCTGCTCTGGCACCTGTTTGTATTATTGGTACAATATTTTACCTTACAATATAAAACTCATTGAGCCATCCGTTGTTGTGATTTGGCGCTATATAAATAAACCTTCTGTCTTCTGTTCTGCTCTCTGTGTTTGTATCTGAAGCGGAAAATCATCGTCAGCGGGTCTCAGCCTGTCCAGCTGAACGAGAGCAGCAGATGGTTTACTCAGTGGTCACCGTGCACGAACCCGCCTCCTGTGAGTTCTGCCCGAGAAACAAAGCTGCCTTTTAATAATGTGGTTAATTACTTTATCAACGGTCTTCATTTTTGCACCTTTTCTTTTTTATGTTTATTATTCATTCTTTATTACATGATTATATTTGTTTGTTTTGTCACATTAGTCTAGGGAGCGTTTTACTAATATATTTACTTCAGTGAAAATATCAGTGACATACTAACGATGTTTCACTGACGTCGGGGCAGCATGAGTACGAGCATTTTTCTTTTTGCCGATGCCCGTGATGCCGCCCCCACCACGATGCCGCCCCGGGCAACCGCCCGTGTCGCCCGTATCTAAAACCGCTACTGGCTCAGTGTGTTGAGCGGGCGACTACATACCATACAGCTGACAGCAGCCAGCCCAGGTCCCACTCTGGTCCACGCTTTCCTGTCCTTTATTCACCGTGTCTATCAAATAAAGCTGAAAGAGGCCAAAACAACTATTTAAATGGATAATCTAGTCTGCATATGATCAGAAATTTAAAGGACTCAACGTCTGTCTCAGTAGGAGCGACTGAGCCCATAAACTCATCACAGTTGGTGAGGCAAAGGATCATTTTCCTGTAGTCTGCTTTAGGAATTTAAGTCTTTTTCCAAATACATGTATCGCCCCCTGGTGGCAATTAGAAAGAATCCATGTTTCAGACACTCTTCATACTCGGGAGCTACGTCCATCTTTTATGCTGTCAGAGAGATCGACTGAAGGGCTTCACCAAAGCCCAGTATGGGATAAAGGAGGATTATTTTCCACTGTGAATCATGCAAAGCTGCCCTGGCAGTAATTAGCAGGTATCAGTGGCTATCCACACAGTTAATGCATGCAGCCTGACATCAAGCTAGCTACCCTAAGCTAACACTCAACCTTCTCGCCCAAACACGGTCACTTCTGTTTCCAAAAACCAGCACGGTTAAAGCCGAAAGACTGATGCTGACGATTAAAACCAGTCAGAAACCAGTGGGTGATGTCACAGTGGAAACATCCATCTTTTATATACAGTCTGTAGTTTTCCTCCAGAAAAGGTTAAAAACAAACAGTTTGCTCAGTGTTTGCTCATTTTCTACTTTAGCTCAAACTTTCTGTAATTGCTGCTGTTTGTCTTCAACAACTCATAACTTTTATATTTACCTGATTTTTTTTCTGTTCTCGTCGCTGCACCTGAAGTGGAAAATCATCACCGGCAGGTCTCAGCAGGAAGAGAAGAGGAGCTTCAGGAGGTTTATTCAGAGGCCATTTCTATATCCTGTGAGTCCTGTGAGAACAGGAAGTTATTATCTCTGCTGACCTTATTTGTCATTGACAGAAGCAGCTTCATTCACACAAGCTGCTCCCAGACTTATTGTGACTCCTGCAGA